CTACATCCTCAGTTGGGTCTGTATCTGCTGCTGCTTCTGCTACTGCTGCAACTGCTGCTGCTACTGTTGGTGCTGGTGCTGCTGTTGCTGCTGCTGCTGTTGCTGCTGCTGCTGTTGCTGCTGCTGCTGTTGCTGCTGCTGCTGTTGCTGCTGCTGCTGCTGCTGAAGTTTGTTGGCTTAGTAGAGAGTCTGGTGGGTGCATGCACAGGGCCTTTGAAGACAGATTGTTATATCGTCGAGGCGCAGCTGCTTGTGGAGGCTGCTGCAGCATATCAGCTGTATATAAATACGCAGACTCCAACTGCATGCAGCAAGCTGTGAGCTTGTTGAATGCATGCAGGGCTTTGTTTTGTTTGTCTCTTTGTTGTCTCCTCTGTCTGTCTCTTTTCTTGGGTTTTGCTGTCTCTCTATATATATCTCTCTCTTTACTGTTTCTTTTCTTGTGCGTAGCAGCAAAAGCAATTTAAAGACATTTATATGCAGCAGATAATAATCTATATATATAATATATATGTATATATATATATATATATTATAAATATCTGAATACCCCTTTATAGTATTCTTTTTTTTATTTGCTGCGTTTTTATTATTATGCTGGAGTGTTTATCTTGGAGTGTATCTTCACCTGTCTTTTTTGCTTCGTTTCCTTCTCTTCTCTTAGACCCATTAGTCTCGCGGATGCAGCTAATGCTGCTGCTGTTGCTGCTGCTATTGCTGCTATATTTGCTGCTATAGTGTTTGCTGCTGCTGCATTTGCTGCTGCTTCGTTTGTTGCTGCTGCGTTTGCTGCTGCTGCGCTTTCTGCTGCTACATTTGCTGCTACTGGGTTTGCTGCTGCTCCATTTGCTGCTGCTGGTGCTGCTGCACCATTTGCTGCTGCGCTGCAGACGGCATGAGCTGCTTGCTGCGATGGGGTTTGGAGTGCTGCTGATTCATCAAAGACATTGGGTTAGCCTCGGCTCTGACTTAGAGAAGATTTCTTTGCTGCAGCAGCTGCTGCCTGCACGGGTACTAGCAGCTCGTACTACACCAGCAGCCTGCAGCTAACCGCAGCAGCAGCAGCAGCAGGATCAGCAGCAACAGCATCTGCAGCAGCAGAAGCAGCCGCAGCAGCAGAAGCAGCCGCAGCAGCAGAAGCAGCTGCAGCAGCAGTATCAGCAGAAGCAGAAGAAGCAGGAGCTGCAGTAGCAGCAGAAACAGCAGCAGCAGGTGGTGCTTGCTGCGACAACTTGTCTTAGGCGCTGTATCATTAAATAGATATTTAAAGGGAATTAAAATGTGCGTTCATTAGGCCAAGTCGAGGCAGTTAAATTTGTTGCTGCTGCATTTGCTGCTGCTACATTTGCTGCTGCTGCATTTGCTGCTTGCTGCTTGCTTCTGATAAAAACGCTAGTTGATGGTTTACGCCATCGTCGAGGGTTTAGGGTTTGGGTACCACCCGTTGGCCTTTGGGGAGTTTTAGGGTTTAGGGTTTAGGGTTTAGGGTTTAGGGTTTAGAGTTTAGGGTTTAGGGTTAACTCCACAAACCCTCTGCATACTGCAGCGGGTTTGTGATATACTATAGTATCTACAATATATAACATGTAGATACTGCATATGTTTATGTATGTAGGCATATGTACTATATACATGCTATATATTGTAGATATTATATATAATATATTTAATATATATTTAAATAAGTAAACACATGCTTGTTGTGCAGGCTGTAGACTGCCTCTGGCCAATACAGAATAGCCCTCCGCAGACAGACCCATCAATGCTTATCTAAGAAAGAAAGGAAATATATATATATGTATTGAAGAGCTTGCTTTAAAAGAGGAGGGAAATAAGCTGAGTAGAGTCATTGAATAATTAATAATTACTAGTCTTTAAAAAATAGTTCTGCTCTACACATGATGCTCTGTACATCTTGAACAAAGCGTCTGGATGAAAAGGGAGCAGCAAAACGCATTGCAAGCAGAAATAAACATATTTATTTAAAATGGAATATTAAAAATGAAGCAGAAGACGTCCTTAATGCCTAAATTCAATTCAACACCCGCACTGCACATATACAGAAGACAGACACTCCAAGCACGTAGCGCACAGCAGAACATGTGGAAACCACCGCGATCCTCACATTAAATGATTCTTTTTTGAAATTTCTTTTGAATGAAACGTTTTATTTATGTATTATTTTTATGTTTAGCCATTAAAAAAAAAATTCCACAGCGTTTTACCCGAAGATCGCCCGTCACCCCCCGCACCGAAGCAGAAACGCGTAGGCGAGGGCCCCTTTAACTGCATTCAAACAGAGCGGCTTTTCTGCATGATACGGTGTAAGACATGGAATACCGGAGTAAATACGTTTTGATTTTTACTGATTTTTCTTGCTGAAGAAGGGCCTCTCGCATGCAGCCACCGCCGACAGCAGCAAACCAACCAGCCAGCAGTTTAACTACAACGAGAGCGTGATCTATAGATACAGCGAAGGCTCCACAACCGCACCTGTATATCCCCATTTGAATATCTTGGGGAAGGAAATACAGGGGGCAGAGAACAACGCTCAACAGCAGCAGGGGCAGCAGCAACAGCATATAGCCACAGTGCCGGGCATACGATGGATGGCGAGACGGCAGCAGCTCCTCCTCTGTCTTCTCCATTAAGTGGTCGTGCAGCAGCTGAGGACCGTGTGTCGCCGCCCCATCGGCAGCAGCAAGCACAGGCTCCTCTTATCTCCCCTACCTCGGCGTCCCTCGCTGCTGCGGTGGTAGCGCAGCCGCACACGCACGAAATCAGCAGCACTGGGGTGGCTCTGCTGCACCAAGAGCTGCTTCTATACACATTACGCCGGTGCAGCCCCATATACAGGGCCTCAGATGCTTCCCCAGAGTGTGTTTCGATTCGCGGGCGTCACTCGTCTGCAGCAGGAGCCCCCGCAGCGGCAGCAGCAGCAGCAGCAGCAGCAGCGGTACCACTGCTGCAGAGCATCGGCTTCCGTGTGGGTAGCCGCGTGGCCGAGCGGCTGACGCTCAAATGCTGCCGCATGCCGGAGCAGCGAGAGTGCGTGAAGTTTATTTGCAAAGACTTGTGGCATTTTCTGTTTCAGAAGCAAGCAGACCGACTGCAAACAAATAGAAGAGGGGGGTACGTTGTACACGACGCAAATCTTCCTTGGCTGCGCCGCGTTCATCCCTCTGCTGCTGCTCCAGCAGCAACAGCAACTGCAACAACAGCAGCAGCAGCAGCAGCAGCAGTAGCAGCAACTGGGAAGCCGTCTGAAGTGCTGCAGCAGCAGCACGAAGAGGAGCTGCTGCGAGCAGCAGCTACGCAGCCGCAGCTCCACGTTGCTTTTGTCTGCGGTGCTATTAGAGGAGCACTTGTGGCTCTGGGCTTAGAGTGTACAGTCACTGCAGAGGCGCCGAAGCCCCCCAGCTGCGCCTTTCAAATTCGCATATCTTCCTAAACCTGCAACAGACACAGCAGCAGCAGCAGCAGCAGCAGCAGCAACAGCCGCAAAAGCAGCAGCAGCAGCAGCAGCAGCACTAACAACAGCACCACCAACAGCACTAGCAGCAGCAGCAGCAGCAGCAGCAGCAGCAGCAGCAGGATGGCTCGCTGCGGACGGTGCGTCGCTATGGAGGCGGAGGTATTTGATTCCGTTAGAGACCTGCGAGACCCCGAATTTCCTGAAGAAACTCTTGAAGATCTGCACGTTGTGCTGCCTGAGCTGATTGTCGTCAGGTGTACAGCCACCTGCCGCATCCACGGCAACAGCAGCAGCAGCAGCAGCAACAGCAACAGCAACAGCAACAGCAATAGCAGCAATAGCAACAGCAACAGCAGCAGCAGGAGCAGCGGCGAAAATCCGGAGTACTTGGACCCCTGGAAAGAGGAGGACTGTATTAACTGCTGCAGCCGTTGCAGCAGCAACAGCAGCAACAGCACGAGCAGCAGCAGCACGAGCAGCAGCAGCAGTAGCAGCATGAGCAGCAGCAGCAACAGTATCAGCAGCATGAGCCGCAGCAATGAAGATGCGATAATAGAAGGCTGCACTGCGGATTGCCGCTGCTGCTGCATTGTGGTGTCTGTACACCCCACAAGCCCCCGCTGCTCCTTTGCTTCTGTCTTGGGGTTGGTTGTGCGGTCTCGTCTTTCTCTTGATTTTGCTGCAGCAGATGCAGCAGCAGTAGCACTGAACGGCAGCTACGATGCCTTTGGAGCAGCAGCAGCAGCAGCAGCAGCAGCAGCAGGAGGTTATTTGTTTGGGGGCGGCTTGCAGTTTGCTGTCCCTCGTCTGTCTCTATGGGTGAGGGTCTGCGGGCATGAAGCAGCAGAAGCACTATCTAAGCAGCTGAATGATAAAGAGAGAATTGCTGCTGCTCTATGCACCCCTGCTATCAGACGCACTGTCCTTAGCGCAATGCAGCTGGAGGAATAAGTATTGTCATCTTGCTGCTGCTGCTCCTGCTGCAGCAGCAGCAGCTGCTGTGCTGTTCCTGCTGCAGCAGCAGCTGCTGTGCTGCTCCTGCAGCTTCTGCTGCTGCAGGTGCGGCTGCAGCGCACCCCCTGTTCTGTTTGTACTGCGGCAGCAGCAACAGCGTCTGCTGCTGCGATTGCAGCAGTCTCTGCTGCTGCAGTGTGTTGCATGCAGCTATTTGTCTGAGGCTGCAGATATAAAGACGAGAGAAACAAACAAAGCTACCCAGTGCGAATCAGCAAACAAAAGTCAAAAGGCAGCAGCAGCAACACTCAGCACTGAGTTCCGTCAGACAGAGACCCCCAGGACTTCTTCTTTTATATCCTTGCTACTACCCCTTTTATGAATATATATATATATATATATATATAATATATATATAACATAATATATCTATAAACATTGTATAATAAAATAAATAAAATAGATAAATATGTATATATATACACTATATCAGCATTGCATATAATATATATGTATATATATATATATATATACATATATATATAATATATATATATATATATGTATATTA